GTCCGTACACTGTGCCGAGTCCGTACACTGTGCCGAGTCCGTACACTGTACCGAATCCATACACTGTGCCAAATCCACACTCCGTTTAAGGTCCGTATTAGCCAAAGTGTCCTCGGCTTTTGGGCCATTGCATTCAGGCTCATCAGCACTATCAGTGCTATCGCCTGCGCTGTTTCCGCGCGGAATGGCGAGCCGAGACATCGCCCAGACGTGCTGGAAAAAGACGGCCGCCAGCTGCTTGACGTCCACGGGCGCGGCCGCAGTCGACGCGCTCTGCACGCTGGAGGACGGAGACGAGCCGATCTCAATCTCGCTCAAAGGACTCGGATTCGGGACGGCCGGTAAAGTCAAAACTTCGGACCCGCTTAACCCACTACGACTGTCCAGGCCACTCGGGCTCCCTAATCCGATGAGGCTAGCACCGCCCAATCCGGGACTAGCATCTCCCAGACTCTCCAAGCCAGTCCTGCTTTCGACTCCCTCCGGACTGTTCACCCCCTCCGGAGTATCCTTTGCATCCGACCCTGGTGCTGTGCCCGAAGCTCGTCGTCGATCCTGCGCGTTCTCTCCGTTCAAGTCCGGTACGGTGGTGGCGTCTTGCGCGGTGGCGGCGTGCTGCGCGGTAATGGCGTGGGGCGCGGTGGGAGCGTAGATAGCATACCTCGAGGGCTGACCGACGAGGATGTCGGGGAAGATGGCTCGGAGTGCAGCGAGAAGACTGGCTGACTTTCGCAGGGGCGGAGGGAGAAGTCGGACGAGGAGAGGTCCATTGAGGAGTTGGGCATGGAGGGCGCTGGTGGGTGTTATTCTGAGGGGTGTGCAAAGTCTGTCCAGTCGTCGGTTGTCCCGACTGTTGGAGTGTAGGCCTGATGCGATTCTGAGCTGCCATTCGGGTGAGAGCGCAAGTGCCATTTGCTGGATGAGTCGGAAAGGAATGAGACCCCATCGAGCTGCCTGTTCGGGTTTGTTAGCGAGGTCTACGGCTGCCGCCCGGGCGCATTTAGTACCGATGGTTTGAAGTGCACGACTCCACGTTTCCAAGAGGCCGGGATGTCTGGAGCCAAATAGTGTTGTGAGGGAGTCGACGGCGGCGCTGTAAAAGAAGTCGTATAGGCGGTCCAGGTCTGGTGTGCCCGCGGGTCCGACGGCCTTGACTATAGTTGTGAGTAGTGTGCCGCATTCCTTGGCGCAAGTCCAGTACGAATGGAACGAGGACGGATGCACTACGCTCTCCTCCAACCCTGCCGAGTCTGCCGGCCGCACTTGCTCAGTCTCCTGGTCGCCGTCGACCATGACCACATGGCCACGGCAGTCGACGCGCAACTGCAGACCCTCGGGTAACGCACCGGCCTCTGATACAGACTTGGCCAACAGCATCTTGTTCTCACCCAGGGCAATGACCTGGATAACGCGCTGCACCGTAGGCTTCAAAATGTCCTGGACGACTAACTGCGTTACCAACGTCTCAAACGCCGCTCCTGTTTCGAACGATCCAGTCTCAGACTCGCCAGAACACGCCGCCCCTCTCGCACACGCGTGTGGGAACAAAATACGGATGGCGGCTTCCAGCATGCGGATACGCCCCGCCGAGACGGCCGCAATGTCCGTCTGCATGCCCCGGCAAATAGCCTCTAACACCGTCATCGGCATCAGGTCCTCGATGCCAAAGTGCTCTAATAACGCCCTTTGCTCCGCCGCCGTCAGCGGCACCGGCGCCAACACTTCGCCGCGGCTTTCGAAAGACACCAAACTGTCCAGCGGCAACGGCAACGGGCGCGCTACCGCCGCCCCACTCGACCACGCTGCATCCTCGGTACACTCCGTCGGGTGCACCGGGCCTGTTCGCACGCTCTCCGTCTCCTGGCTGCCAGTCTCCTGACTGCCGGTGTCCTGGCTGCCGGTCTGGAGACTGGCGCCTGGTAGGAGACCGTTTGCAGGTTGGAGACTGCCTGCAGGCTGGAGACTGCCCGCAGGTTGGAGACCGGCCGCAGGTTGGAGACTGCCCGTGCTGCTCTGGTGCCTGACCGCCCCGGCGGTCCTGCAGCCGACCTCGTCCGCCGACCCGTCACCCGCGGCCAGACCGGACGAGCAGGAGGACTCGTCGGCCGAGGCAGAGGAATTTATGAGCGACGAAGAGGAGGCCGTGCTCTGGTTCTTGGCGCTAGAGGCGCCATGTGTGCCCCAGGTGGCGCCCGAGGTGCTTATCTGGGGCGCCTCGCGGCCTGAGATGGTGCTGGCTGCGGCCGAGTCTTCTCTCGCCAAGCCCTCCAGCCGCGAGTCTCGAACGCGGGAGTCGCGGGTGCTCCCAGTTCCCCGGGTCCCGGCTTCTCGGTTCCCGATTTCCCGGCATCGGAGTTCTTCGCTCGTAGTTAGGGTGCTGTGACTCCCACGCGAGACACTAGTCTGACGCGCGAGAGGGTCGCAGCTGTGGCGATAGATGGCCTGGAGGAGGCAGCGGTAGAGGGCAAGGGCCTGTTCTTCGTGTCGGAGTCTGGGACTAGCGAGAGTGGCGTCTAGCCACTGCAGGACGGGTTTGTTCGTGGCTTCGAGTTCAGGTAGACCACCGACGAACTTGAAACGTCCGTCGTCGAACCACAGTGCCTTGACGAGGTCAGCCCAGGTAAAGGCGTAGAGGAGGAAACGGCTGCAAGCGCTACGTATGTCTTCCCATTGGACGGCAAGCCCATGGACGACGTGGCTGAGAAAGCGTGTTCCGCCGATTTCGTTGACTAGACAGCGCAGATGTTCGGGCTGTAGAAACTTGACAAATGCTTCCAACCATACAGCGGCATTGATCAAGTGTGAATGGTTTGTGGTGAGTAGCAAGGCCTCTTCAACAGCTTTCATAACCTTCCTCATAAAAGGCACCAGACATAAAGCTAACCCCTTGGCCTCCACAGGAGTCGGATTTTGTTTCGGGTACACACGCTGGATTGGATCTACCAGCCGACTCATGAACCGATATGTCGTCGACTTGTAAACGTCACGACGAGCCGCATCACTGAATAGCTCCATACTATCGATGAACCAATCTGCCAACAAACTCATCGTCTCTGGCGCCTTGGGCGGGTTCAACACTGCCCGGTCGACAGCTAACATCTTCACGGCATACACACTCTCCGGCTGCGTTAATGGACACTTAAAACATTCCCGGAGGACGTCGCCTGGAATGCACAGTGCCAAACCTACACTGGACTCTTCCGCCGCCCCCTCCCGGCCACCTTTTGATGCTTCCCCTGCCACACCGACTAAATCTCCTTCCGAGTTCCCACGTACAGAGTCGTCCGGCTCAGTTATTTTGGAGGTCGTAGCGGAACGTGCACCGGCGGGTTCCTTGACAATCAGGGTAAGAGTTCCCGGTGCCAATTCCCGACGCACACGGCCACCAGCGATGCGGGCGGTCTCATCGTTGGTGGCTTGAAGGGCGTCACGTTTCCGTCGCTGCACGTTCGTCTTTGCGTTCCAGTCACTGGCAATGACATTCCGCGTTGTCGTGCAACCATCTTCCAATTGATGCACAGTATTCACGGCATACGGAACACCTAACCGCATCAGGACGCCGCCAATCACAAACGCAAACGTCGTCTGTTCCGGCCGGTCCACCAACACCACCTCTACGCCACGAGAAGCAAATGTCACACACTCAAACTGCCGTACCATCAACACCGGAATCAATCGCCGTAGAAAATCTGTGCCATCTTTCGCACTTAAACTCTTGAACCACTCTAGTCGTAACTGCCTCAAAAACTGCATCAACAAACTCTCCCAGTTCTCCCGGATACTGCCCAATGCCATTAGCACCAACTCCTCACTCGCTACAGCCGCGTTGGCCTTAACGTTGGCTGACGTCGAGTTGACAGTGGTCGTGGCAGTTGCAGCTGTGGTTGTGGTCAGCATGGAGAGGACCAGCGGTTTGCGTAAAAGAACGCTCTTTTTGGTGAAAGACTTGCTGGAACGGTAGCTCTCCGTAAGGCTGCAGATCCAGTCAAACAACGGCCCTGTATCCTCGAAGTTATGGAACAGTCTGCTCATATGCTGGTCAAAGAATGACCTCTTCGCGCTCACAGTTCGTTCCTTGTTCACAACGGCGCAGGCAAACAAGACAAACAACTGCGTCAGAGCACGGTTGCCATCGCCCGGTGGCTCTTCCGCTTCCGTCGGTCGCGGCCGTCGCAACCCCTCGGCCGTCGAGGTGCGCCGTTCCAGGCAGCCGACCCATTGTGCCACCCGGCTCCGGTACTCATGCGCCTCCATTTTTAAACAGGATTTCATGGCGGCTCTGAATCCAATCAAGGCTGCGGAGTCCACGCCCAGCAAAGGCGCTGAATCAGCCCCGGATGCAGGCGCCAATGGGTCGGGTAGTGGGTTTGATGGTAATGGTCAAGAAACAACGTCTGGAACAGCGATGTCGGCGCCGGTAGCCGAACTTTTGTCTCGTGAGTTCCGAGAGGAATGGACAGAAGTACCGATAGACTTAGCTGTTGCCGCCCGGAGAGAACTATTGGTCATGCGTCAAGAGTGGTTGCAGGCTTTGCTGGATACATGTGTGGTCATTGAGCTTACTGCTAGCAGCATTGGGGGCTGTACGTTCCAGCCTAGCGTGAGCCATAGCGATAACCTCAAGACGCTCCTTTTGACACTAAGGAATATGTTTGAGGACAGCAAAGTATCGCGCTCTAAAAACAAGGTGCTCGACGCCGTCAGCGCTCGTTGGTTACATGGCATGGCGAACTACCAAAGCAAGCTACATGAGCTCGACAAGACGGTCAAGGCCGAGTTGGAAGACAAAAGTGTCTCCGTACCGGCGGATATCCGCGTTGCGGAGTACCAGAGAGTGCGCTCTTCTGTCATCTGTGTGGGCCAATTTTTGGCCAGCAGTTCCAAGGCGTTTTTTGACCTCATGCTCGATACCGTGCCGAGTACGGAGGCTGCAGAGGTTTACGAATTAGTTCTGAACGGGGTGGACTCCAAATGCCTGGAAGACGCCGCCGTTGGGGCATTCAAAGAGAGCGTGGCAGAGACCCCTTTGAGATTCCGTGAATGTCTGGAAGAGGCGAAGCAACTGGTGGCAAATACCAGCCCGGAGACAGGCGCGCTCGGTGCTGCTTTATCGTTTCACAAGATTTGCGCTTGGATGCATCACGTCACTGCTGTCTACTTAGACCGGCAAAAGATTGAGACATGGAACAAAGGCATCTCGAAGGCGCCGAAGAAAAAGCTAAGCTTGAAGTTTGGCAAGGGAATTAGCAGGTACGCCGAAAGGAAAATCGCAAAGTCACGTTTCGAAGACTTAATTGACCTTGAAGAATGCATTGCCACGTGTAACACAGTTATTGGAAGGAAGCCTAAGGTTGCCAAGGGATGTGTTGATTATGGCCCCGAGAAGATGAGGATACGGGAATCTGTTTTCGCACACATCACTCACATTTTCAAAATTTACGGAGCAGTGCCCATCGATACTCCTGTTTTCGAGCTCAAGGAGGTATTGACCAACAAGTATGGAGAAGACTCGAAGCTAATTTACGACATGAAAGACCAAGGCGGAGAACAGCTGAGCTTACGATATGATCTGACTGTCCCGTTTGCTCGATACTGCGCAACCAACAATGTCGACCGCATCAAGAGGTATCATATAGGCAAGGTTTACCGGAGAGATGAGCCGCAGCTGGCGAAGGGTCGGTATAGAGAGTTCTATCAGTGCGACATTGATTTTGCCGGCGTTGCCGGTCTGATGAAGCCGGATGCCGAGATTTTGACCATGCTGTGCCACGTGCTATCTACTTTGCGGAAGGTAGTAGGTGCTTTCCGCATCAAAGTTTCGCACCGGCTGTTGTTGGACGGGATGATGGAGTTTGCAGGAGTCCCCAACAAGTTAATCCGTGCCATTAGTAGTGCCATCGATAAACTGGACAAGGAGCCGTGGAGTGAGGTCCGAAAAGAGATGGTTGAAGCCAAGAACTTAAATCCGGAGGTTGCCGACCGGTTGGAAACGCTAGTTCAATTTTCAGGAACGATCTCGGAAACGTGTGTGCAATTGCGCGCAATTCCGGGATTGGCCCAAAACAAAAATGTAGAGCAGGCGCTGGCGGAAATGGAGTGCTTAGAGGGGTTGCTGCAGGGTAGTCCGCCTGTGTGGCGGCTCTGGACTTTAATACGTCGCTGGCGAGAGGTCTGGATTATTATACCGGGTTAATTTATGAGGCGGTTCTTATTGGAGATAATAAGGTCGGTTCAATTGCTGCGGGTGGTCGATATGACAAGTTGATTGGGATGTTCTCCGGCAAGAGTATTCCCGCTGTTGGGGTCAGTGTTGGCATTGAACGAGTGTTCAGAATGATCGAAGAAAGTTGTGAGATAACGGAAACCAGCATTTTGTTGAAAGAGACAAAAGAGATGGTGGTTTTACCCAAGGCGGAATGTTACATTACGACCATCGGTGATGTAGACGAAAAGGTGGTGTTGTCGTTGATTGCAAAGTTGCGATGTCATGAGATAATTGCGACTTACAACACAAAGGGGAAAATCAACTTTAAGAAAGATTGGCCTACTATGCTCGACTACAAGTGCTACGTCGGACTGATTATCGCTCAGGATGAGTGGGAGAAAGAGCAACAGGTTCAGGTCAAGGTACTTCAAACTGACGGGAAATCTAAGGACTATAAGCTATCGGAAGAGGAAGCGCTTCAGATGACCAAGTCCGTGGTGGATCAGGCACGGAAACGTAGCCTGACTAGCTTATTGTATTCGACATTTGATATGACCGGGTGAGGAACGCTTTTTTTTTGATTAAACAATTGATGAATGTCAAATGGTGGGTCGTTGCTTTGTGTGCACTGGTAGTTGCTGGCGAGGATGACTATTACAAGGTACTGGGAGTGTCACGAAAGGCGACTCCGGATCAAATTCGGAAGGCGTACAAGATTTTGACCAAGAAGTATCACCCGGACGTGAATAAAGATCCTGACGCAAGTAGGCTGCATGTGAACATAAATGTGTGTGGTGGACCGACACGGTGGTGGTCCGGTATTGTGTGGATAACCGGTTGTGAGTGTTGTTGTATAGTCTGTTTGCTTACGGGGTAACTTTGTAGCGGCCAAATTTAGTGCGGTCGCGGAGGCTTACGGAGTTTTATCTGATCCGAAGCAGCGGAAGAAGTATGACCGTTTCGGGAAGGAGAGTTTGCAGGGAGGTGATTCTGAGGGTCCTTCGTCGATTTTTGATTTGTTCAATTTCGGAGGCGGACGGCGTCGACGACCGGCGGACAAGGTTGATGATACGTATTTGACATTATACGTATCATTGAGTCAGTTGTATTCAGGGGATCATATAACGGTGCGGTACACGCGTTCAGTTTTGTGTTTACGTGCAGATGAGTGTGTAGTAGATCGTAATGATTGTGTGGGGCCTGGTTCTAGTATGACTGCACGTCAGATAGCGCCGGGTTACTATGTTGAGCATCAAAGTGCAGATCCGTTATGTCTTGCCCGAGGTCGTGGACTCAAATCCAACCGATGTCGTTATTGCCCTAAGGGAATTAATACGCTGCAGACCACCACAGTCCACGGCTTTATTTCACCTGGGATGAAAGATGATGATACCATCAAATTTGAAGGCGCTGGTGAACAACAAATGGACCTTGATCCAGGTGATTTAATTATAAGGCTCAAAACGGAGAGTGAATCAGACGTCTACGTTCGCGACCATCACAATAACTTGTATACACAACTCTATATCACACTAGCCGAATCCCTACTAGGCTTCAATACCACCATCCCTCATCTCAGTGGCCAACCCATACAGATCACTAAGCAATCCATTACACCCGATGGTTACTCCATCAAACTACCCGGAAAAGGTATGCCTGACCAGCTTGGCAAGTTCGGCGACCTCTTCGTCAAAATAAGAGTCTCCTACCCCGACATCACTCAATTCAAACCCGAACACAAAGAAGCCCTCAATCGCATACTGCCCAAGTCCCTAACCTGGAACTATGTAGCCACACCCAATACTAGCACCTAACATGCGCCCAAACAACAGGAGCGAAACACACCTGGTTCGACCTGCCTTGGTTACTCGGCCTTCAGCTTGTTGAACTCCAGAGGGTCCACAAAGCAGGCCTCGATCTTCTGACCACCAAAATACCGTCCGTGCAAACCACGAAACGCTTCACAGGCTTCCTCCGTCGTGGCGAAGCGCACGAATATTTTGCCGTCCAAAAGTTCCTCATCAAGAAACAACTGAAAGAATGATATCTCGTCCATGTGTTGTACCCTCCATGTGTTGTACCCTCCATGTGTTGTACCCTCCATGTGCTGTGCCCTCCATGTGCTGTGTGGATATTATGTCCAGCCGCGCCCTGCTACTCAGTGAAGCAGATCACCCAAACAGGCTGACGTGGCTCCCTGTTGGGCGACCGACTCTGTCGGGCCACTCCCGCCGCTCAGTAGAACCTATCGCGCACTTAGTACTCACTGAGTACCTATTTGGCGCTTACGTCGATGATGATTCCGAAGCGAAGACACTCAGTGGTGACGTCATCTTCGATCTCGTCGATGATTTGGTAGCCGTTTTCGTTGACCTCTTGTTTGCTGAACATGTTATTCAGGCAAAGGATGTCTGAGCAGTGTTGTTCGAGCAGCCCCGCGGTACCTGCACCACGGCCGACTGCTTTGCTGCCGATGACGTCGTCTTCCTCATCACGTTGATCCGTCTCATGCTTCTTTTCGTCGTCGGTCGTAGCGAAGCCGATTTTGATTTGGACGCCCTGAACTTCGAACCCGTGCATCGCCAGCAACGCGTCGCGCGCCTGCTCGCTCTCAGCGTACTGAATTATCGCGTACCCCTTGTTCTTCTGCGTGTACCCGTCTTTCGGCACATCTATCTACACACATTCCACGCATCGCACATACTCCGCGGGGGAGGGGGGAGGGGGGACGGGGGGAGTTAATGAGTGGGAGTCAGTCAGGAGAGGATGGTGATTCGTTACGTTGATGATGGTTCCGAATGGGAGAAACAGCATGCGGAGATCTGCGGCTCCGAGGTCCGCAAGCTGGTCTACCAAGTTGCCTATATATAGCTTCGTGGGGGCTTGCGCGGAGGCTAGGTCTTGTTGGGCCTTGGCGGCACGAGCGGCGCGGTTTTTCTCAGCTTGCGAAGCTTGGACTCGAATGGCCTGTCCCATGAGCATTTGGCCGGTGAGTCCCAGGGATCGCAGAACGGCGGTAGAGTCCTCGAACTCCACGTAGCCGATACCCTTGCTCTTCCCACGACTGTCCGTAACCAGCTTGATGGCTCGTACCTTACCTGCATTATGCGAGAAAAAATCAATGATGTCTTGCTCCGTCGCACGCAAAGGCAAATTTATCACCAACACCGTCATGTCGTCCCGACGTGCGTCCTCCAACTCCTTCATCTTCCGTTCCTGCTCGGTCCGCGGTTTGCTCCGATTGTAGTCATCGTCGCGCAGCCTCCGCCCGCCATAGTCCTTGCCGCCATAGTCCTTGTCGCCATAGTCCTTGCCGCCGTGGTCCTTGCCATACTCACGCCCACCACCGTAGTCCCGACTACCGTACGAGTCTTTACTATACGAGTCCCGGCTACCGCCGTAGTCCCTCCCGCCGTAGTCCTTCCCGCCGTAGTCCTTCCCGCCGTAGTCCTTCCCGCCGTAGTCCTTCCCGCCGTAGTCCTTGCCGCCGTAGTCCTTGCCACCGTAGTCGCTGCCATCCCGGACGTACTTATCTTTTCCATAGCTTTCTTTTCCGTAGTTATCTTTCACGTACGGATCCTTGCTATAAGAGTCCTTACTATAAGAGTCCTTGCTATAAGAGTCCTTCCTATAAGGGTCTTTGCTATAAGGATCTTTGCTGTAGGGGTCCTTGCTATAAGGGTCCTTGCTATACGGGTCTTTGGTGTAGGGGTCCTTGCTATACGGGTCTTTGGTGTAGGGGTCCTTGGTGTAAGGGTTTGCTTCCTTGGTGTTGGCAGAGTAAGAACCCTTGGGCGGTGCATACGGGTCGCGCGCTGCCGCCGCATACGGGTTCCCGCCCCCGCTGTAAGGTTCTCTATGTGCGCCGTACGTCTTGCCATATTCCCGGTAACCGTCCGGGCGTCCTCTGCCGTCGTCGGTGGGTCTACGTCCATCCTCTAGCCGGTCTTCCTCGGGTCTGCCCAGTTCCGTCAGCCGTCTACCCTCTTCGCTCCGCCTGTGATAAGGACCCTCGTCCCGACCGCCTAGTGGGGGCCGTGTCCTTCGAGCGGCAAGATTGGACTCTGGCATGCAGCTAGTTGTTCGATTTTAAAAAGGTCGAAAAGGGTTTGTCCGAAGGTCTGGTCGTAAGAACCGGTCGTAAGAGCAGGTCGGGTGAGCCATGTTTAAATGTTTACTTGTAGACCTTGCAGTCGGCGATTTCGGCTCCTTCGAGTTTGTCTTCTTCGCAGAAGTAGTCCTCGACGAGCTGCTTGCATTCAGGCATGGTAAGCTTATCCCAGGTGAAGGAGCTGAACTGGTCATGTTCCTTCAGCTCGGTAGGGAGGTCGTGTCCGAGACAGAAAAGTACGCCCTCGATGTCGTAGTAACCATCGCGCTTTAGAATGTCGCACACGGCAAAGCCGATTTTGCGGACGTAATTGTCGATGCGCTGATAGAA